CCACCTTGATGTTCCTAAGTTTTACCTTGTCTTTTGTTACTTAACATTTTTGAAGAGTACAGACCTACTTTGTTGAATGACCTTCAGTTTGTGGTTGGCTGATACATCCTTAAGATTGCATTCAGGTTATGCATTCTTGTCAGGAATAACACAGAAGGGACACTGTGTTCTCAGCAGATCACATTGAGGGCATACTATGTCGATTAGTCCCATGGCTCATGATGTTGACTTATCATTTGGTTAAGATGATTCATTATTATTTTGTTAATTAATAAGTAACTAAAAAGACTTTGAGTGATTAATTTTAAATTAATTTAAAAGTATTGGAATCTATGCAAATACCCTGTTCCTCATCATATTTTCACCCACTAGTTTTAGTCTCCATTGATGACTCTTTTTTTTTTTCTTTTAAAGATTTTATTTGACAGAGAGAGACACAGCGAGAGAGGGAACACAAGCAGGGGGAGTGGGAGAGGGAGAAGCAGGCTCCCCGCAGAGCAGGGAGCCCGACGCGGGACTCGATCCCAGGACCCCGGGACCATGACCTGAGCCGAAGGCAGTCGCTTAACCAACTGAGCCACCCAGGCGCCCCATTGATGACTCTTCTGACGTAATTATTACTGTGATAGCTGCCAAGTGCTCATTTTCTAACTTCTTAATTGCTGCTACATGTATTATTAATTGGTGTCCTGTTGCAAGATAGAATTTTTCCTTCTCCCAAGATTTATAGATGAGGCCCCAGTTAGGCCAGCAGTTTGGGTAAATTAGTGGTGAAGACTGTCTCTGGGTCTCATGGGTGTTCAGCAACTTGTTTATGAAGGTAACTAAGCTCTTTTTTGTCCCTAATTGGAGGTGTCATTTTCATTTCACATTGGAACTTTCTGGGGATTGACCCACCTGTGGGAATTTAGGTTATGCATTTAGAGGTCAGAGAAAGTCAGAGAAGACACATTGCAGAATGAGAGCTATTCAGAGACATGGCTTTTCTTTCAGTGAGTTTATCAGCGTCCATCAGGACCTAGTAATAGGGCAACAGTAATCACTTAGCAGTGACAAATAGCTCTGTAGTCCCAATGGCTTGAGATAAAAGAGTTTGGGTAAATACTTATTGCCAAAGTTTCCAACCAGCTGTGAGATTGGCCACAAACCTCTGTAATTTTACCGAGTTTGGAGGAGAGTAGCAGTTCCAGGGAAGAGTTTGACTTACCAACACATGGATTACTTCCAAACTTTTTTGTTCTAGTGATTCTTATTCAAATATGACGACTTATTTGGTGGTTTGGGACTATATTGGGACTATAACAGATGTTTATTGTCAATATCTAAAGAGGGCAATCAGGTATTAAGTATCTCTTTTTTTTTGTAGTTGGTGGCTATAGGGCCAGCAGTGCATCTTTCATGGGCCATAAAATGTCTCTTTGCTCTAAGACCTATATGACCCTCAAGATGATTATTTTGGTGGAGGCTTGGATTTTCTATTCATTCAAGATCCATTTGTGCTTAGGTGGCATATGCAGAGTAATGTAAGAAGTTTTCTTAATGGGGGCACCTAGGTGGCTCAGTAGGTTAAGCATCTGCCTTCAGCTCAGGTCATGATCCCAGGGTCCTGGGAT